TGCGAGTGTTTTAAAAAATTTTTTTTTTTTTTTTTTTTTTTTTATCAGGGATCAAACTCAGGACCTTGTGCTTGTGAGGCAGGTGTGGCATCGCTGAGCTAAATCCCTGGCCCTGAGTTTTAACAACCTTGACACCCGTGTGCCCTTGGCTGTTCATGCAGCTGGTTTCAGGTGCTGCTTAGGCACTAGGACTCCAGCTCCCATGAGAATCCAATTCACAGGTATTGCTGAGAACCACTCTACTTCTCCACTACACTGTCTGCAGGACTGTGCGGTGCTTCCCAACCTGTGGCCCAAGCAGTATTCTTGCCTCCAAAGGCTAAGAAATGAGGTGATCAAGAAGGTACTCTGGTTCCTTTACAGCTGATGTGGAGGCTGAGGGCACAACTCAGTGGTGGAGTGCCTGCCTACCAACCGAGCCCGCCTGATAAGTAAATGTGCTCCAAGTTAGATGTACACATATGTAACTGTGTACTCTGTTGTTCACGGTCTACACCTCCTGCTGTTTATTTATTTATTTTGTTACTGGGGATCAAACTTGGGTCCCTGCATTTGTGAGGCACGTGGCAGAACCACGGAGCTAAATTTCGAGCCTGCTGTTTAATTAAAAGATGAAAAGAAGTCCAACACAGAACATTACCAGCAAAAGGAGGATCTGAACTTGGATTTCCCCACATCGAGGACCAGCAAGCCCCCGAAGAAACTCAGTTACCCATGGCTGACATGTGGGCTCACAACATTCCACACACGACCTGCAAACCCCTCTTTGCCAAGGGATGATGACCGAGGGGCACCATCCTCACCACCCCTGGTCATTTCGGCCCTCTCTTTCTCTTGCTCCAGAGTCAGGGACAGACGTTCCACGTGTGCTGGAGAGACCAGCTGAGTCCGGCAGAAGGGACATGGAAGCCGGCCCTACCTTGCGATAGACGGCCCCGATGACCGCGGTCTTGATCCTCATGCCGCTGACAAAGCAGATGTGGAAGTACTGGTGCAGCACCAGTGTCTGCAGGCAGGCGCTCACGAACAGCAGCGCTGTGTAGAAGTAGCCCTGCCAGTCCGGGGCATTCTTGTCATTCACAAAGTTGATAAGCAACCTGACAGGGGACAAGGTGTGACCCTGGAACCACTTCAGCGGAATCCACACAGCTATAAAAAGTGCTTCCGGGTCAGCGCTGCCAGGTGAGGCAGGCTGTAGCCTCCAACCTCACAAGCACAAACAGGAGCCCATAGCAGCCATCTAACTACGTAAGGGGCTTGTGCCACCACATGGGGCCTCTGCCTTGGGACCAACACACTGGTTGCGGGGATATGCCTCGCCACCATTAAGTCACTCAGAGGTGACCAACTGGAGGACACAGGGACAGAGAGAAGGGGAGAGGCAATACCCTCTGACTTCCTAGTCCCACCGCAGTTTTTCACAAGAGCTGCCTGCATCTCTTTGCTCTTGGCTTGCCAAGACAAACCCATTCCCTCCAGTTTTAGATTAAGTAGGTTTCTGTTACTTGCAGAACAAAATAGTTTTAACACAAACTGCGGTTAAGCAAAGGAGGTAAAGACAGGGATGCTTGACTACAAGTGCCCATCAACACACCACATGACCCTAAGGTAAGTGAGGCAAGCAAGAGGCAAACCAGGGAGGCAAAGAGGAGCCCTGCAGGGAGGGAAGAGCTCTTACTTTAAGATCTCAGGGCCAGCAAACATCATCAGGTCATGAAGGGCCTTAAACAAGAAACTCATGAGGAAGTAGGGCCCAAAGGTCTTGTATAACACTTTAAACAGGGAGGGGTCCCGCTCCTTCTGGGGGGACTTGACAATCAGAGCCTCAGCCTCCTCGTTCACATCCACCTTGGAACTCCCTTTGGGCTTGGCCGCATCCTTGGAGGAGGAGGAGGAGGAGGAGTACACCATCTTCACCGGGTGCCTACAACACAAGAACAAGGGAGAGGCGGTGAGATCTTCCACTCATGCAGCCAGCATCTGACGGACAGGCAGGGCCCAAGACAAGTCACCAAGGAGAGGCTGCTGAGGACAGCAGCAGGAACTTGGACTCGGGAGCCAGGGGTTCAGATCCTGGTGCGGGACCCCTGCCAGCGTTGGGGCTTTAGGCAAAGCACTGAACTTCTCCTCTCCTAGTGTCCTCATCTGTAAAACGGGGACAGAAGCAGGATTTACATCTCAGGGTGGCTGTGAATGAGTCAATATACATGAAGGGCTTACAGGACTACCAGCCCCAAACCTATCCACAGAAGTAATGAAGTCCCTCCTGGAACCCCCACTGGCTGCCCACACAAATAGATGTGTGAGTTCTAAAGTTCATATGAAAATTCAAGGGTCCCAGCATAGCCAAAACCATCCTGGAAGAGAAAATAAAGTCAAGATTCACACCTCCCTCTTTCAAAAGTTGCTATAAAATGACAGGGATCACGACTGGCACAGGAAGAGGCAGATCATTGAATTCAGAGCCCAGAAATAAACCTACTGATTTTAACAAGAATGCAAAGGCCATGCACTGGAGACAAAATAGTCTTAAAAAACTGGTGCTGGGAAAGTGGAGAACCACAGGCGACAGAATGAACTTGGACTCTGATCTTATACCAAACATAAAAAAAACGAACACAGAATGGATCAGACGTCAATGAAAGTTGAAACTATAAAATCCTTAGACAGAAACAAGAGTAAATTGTTATGCCCTTAAGACTGACAACAGTCTTTGATGTCATATGCAAAGCACAAGCAGCAAGAGAAATCACCCAACAGGGAAATCTATTATCCAATAGATAATTTAGACTTCATCAAAATAAAACACTTTGGGGCTTGAAAAGACACTATCAAGAAAGTGAAAGGACAAACAACCTTGGGAGAAAATATCTGCAAGTAACAGCTGGATAAGGGACTTGTATCCAGGTCATACGAAGAATGCTTATCATTCATTCCATAAGAAAAAGACAACCACCCCCCAAAAAAGGGACCAAGAACACGAGGAAAGTTTTCCTAAGAAGATACACAAATGGCCGATAAGCACAGAAATGCTGCCCGGACATCACGAGTCATCAGGGAAATGCCAATCAAAACCACGGTAAGGTAAGATACCATTTCACATCCACTATGCCAGCTACCAGTCAGATAATAAAATGTACAAGGAAACAGACAAACAAGAACACTGCCAGCAGGAATGCAAAATGATGTCACTCTAGAAAATAGCCATGCGCTTCCCTGAAATGTTAAAGCCAGAAATACCACGTGACTCGTAGGTAGCTAGCAAAGAGAAATGAAGACACATACACACGTAAAACTTTGTAACTGGATGTTTACAGCAGTAATACTCATAACTGATAGAATATTAGTTGGCCACAAAAAGCAGTGAAGCACCGACACTTGCCACCACACAGATGCTAAATGAGAGAAACCAGATACAAAAAGCCACATATCAATTCCATTTCCATGAAACGTCTAGAACCAGGCAAATCTACAAAGACAGAGAATAACATCAGCTTGCTTACATCTGGGGCTGGGAAGATTAGGAGATCAGGGGATAAAAGAAGCATGAAGCTTCTTTCAGGAGTAGGAAATGAAAATGTTCTCAAATCAACTGTAGTGAAGGTCACACAACTCTGAGGATAGATTAAAAAAAAAATCACCAAACAGCACATTTTTAATACAGAGTGTAGGAAGTACATCTAAGTAAAGCTGTCACCAAGAAAAAAAGCTCAGCTTGTCCCCCAAATTTATGATAGTTAGAGTTGTCCTGATTCCAGATGGTACAAAAGCTTTTGGCAGAAAATGGACTTCAAATTCTGAACTGCAATCATTCCCCAGGTTAGCAATATGCAGGATGATCCTCCCTCACGATGGTGGACAGCGGTATTCAGGCCCATGCAGCCACACGATCATGACACAAAACAACTGAGCTGGGCTGGGAATTTAGCTCAGTGATTCTACTGCCAGCCTTGCAAGTGCAAGGACATGAGTTCAATTCCCCTGTACCAAAAGAAAAAAAAAAAAGGGCTGAGGATGTAGTTCACTGCAAAGGCCCTGGGTTTCATCCCCAGTAGTGCAGAAAAAAACGAAATAAAAACCACCTGAGTCCATGGTGCACTGCGTTGCTAAGCCATGAAGCTAGGTAGGTGAGGCGTACGAAAAGCATTTCTTTACTGAGTGCGTGTTTATAGCACACAACAGAGATGCTTGGTATGGAGACCTGGCATGTGCACATCACAGATCTTGATCATTTTCAATCCCTGTCCTCTGCTCTCCTTGTCCTCTCCCTTCCCTATCTCCAAGAGCCTACCTTCTAGTTCCCTACCACCTCTCCTTTACTTTATTCTTTTTGGGATTCTTTTTTTATTTTCCTTTTGGTACCTGGGATCGAACTTGGGACCTTGTGCTTGGGAGGCAGGCAGTACAACCACTGCGCTAAATCTCCAGCCCTACTTTATTCTATCTGATAGTTACATTTTAGGTTTCTCATATAAGAGGAAATATGTGATTTTTAACTTTGGAATCTGGCTTATTTCACTTGGCACCATGGTCTTGAATTTCATCCATTTTCCGGCAAGTCACATGATTCCGTTTTGTTTCATGGTACAATAACACTGCATCATATATAT